TCCTTTGAAGGTGGGTTGGGACCATGTGACTGGAATTTGGTCAAATAGGGTACAAAGAGAATTAATGTAAGCCACCACCAAGCCTAGCCCTTAACAGTCCTCTCCTATCTTCCTTTCCGATAGTGACTAAGGTGATCAGGTGCTGAGCTGGTGGGCCACAAGATGAAAGCAGTGGGATTCCTCAATTACCACATGGAGGAGAGCACTGAGGAGTTGCCCCACCCCACATATGGTAAGCTAATGAGATTTCAGGCATTACTCGTTATTGCAGCAAAGCCTAGTTTATGCTGATATAGACAAACCTTGCAGATACTGCAAGTTTTGTTGCAGACCATCACAATAAAACAAGTTATAATATTTATGCAGGTGGGGGATTTTGCCCTCAATTTGAAAAAAAGAACCCCCCCCCAAATCTGTGAAGTGCAATAAAGTAAAAAACAATAAAATAAGGCATGCCTGTACATGAGAGGAAAGAAGGTTCACAAATGAAATATAGGGAAATACATAAGATTTAATAGTGATCCCTCACCTATCGTGGGAGTTATGTTCCAGAGACCCCCGCAATAGATGAAAATCTGCGAAGTAGCAGTGTTATATTTATTTTATTATTTATATATATTTTAAGGCTTTATAAACCCTTCCCACACTTCTATAAACCTTTTCTACTCTCTTATTAACCTTTCCCACACTCTTACAGACACTTCATATGCTCTTAAACACTTCTACACTCTTAAACCTATGTAATTTTAACAACATATAAAATTCTATATGGGTACAATATACTGCAAAATCCCTAAGCACTTAGGGCGGCTCTCGTTTGCAGCTCTTATGAGCACCGTGTCTCCGGACACCCTGAGGGTCCGCCCTGCGCAGGTTAAAACTTTGGCCAATAAAATAACATCTCTGAATCATGAAAGTTTCTGACAATTTGTCTCTCGCACTGGTGGATGCAACATGAAACCCAACAGATAACCATTCAATAGCTAACATTTAAAAAGAATTTTAAAGCTTACTATATACTTAGAATGGGGCTTTAAAATGAACTTTTGAAAGTTTAGAAACATTCTAGTTTCTATATTCTATATATTTAATATTATTCTTCAGATTAATAAAAACCAGATCAGCTAGGGGCCTTACTCTGCCCCGAGATGTAGGCAAAAATGTTTCAAAACATCCTGGTCCCCAGCCTGCCCAAGCTGAAGCCTGGTTAAATATTCCTGGTAATTTCCATGCTTACAAACTCTCCTGACCTCTCCTGCTTCTTGAGCTCTGCTATGTAACCCAGCCCTGTGATTTTAGACCACAGTGACCCAAACATGAGATTTACCCTCTTTTTTGATTTCTAGAAGAACAACAACAAAAGACCCACACCAAGCCTGAGTCTAACAGATTTTACTGGCAAGACTGAGCTGGGGAAGGTGTTACAACACTTAGCCCATACCCTCCTGCCACTTCTCAGGTTCCCCTTTACCCATCCCTTCCCTGAATACTCAAAATTCCAATTTTGTACTTCTTTTATGCAAAGCAATCTCAGCACCCAGGTCAATTAGCTGTGTACTCCCCAGATTTTGTTAACTGGTTTTTTTTGGACTATTTACTTTGTAAGGGAGAGGAGTTTAGCTCAAATTAGCTAAGGGCAAAAGAGTTTATTGGCTTATTCAATTAAAGGACAGGTTTATCAGCCAAACTGTAGGAAGAGGAATTTATCTATACTCAAAACTACTGAACCGTTACAGAACAGAGCCAAGGGGGGTGTACAATATACTATTACCGAAAGGATCCCCTAATAGGTTCGATATGCCTGCTGTCAGAGGAAAGACATCTCTCAATGCCAGAGATTTGTGAAAAGAAAATGTTTATTTAAAGCTATACAGACTTACAGTAGTGACCCAATGTCTTCATTAAAATATTAAAGTCCTTTAGGACACCCACAGACACACACAGTCCATCCTTCTCTCTCTGCCCTGATCTGGGGTACCATATCTCAGGAAAAGAAGTAGAAGTCTGTGATTCAGGCTCCAGGCACCATCAGCTGTGTCACCACCAGGATCTCCAGTTAATCCAAAGCCATGTGGCACCTTCTCATAGCCCACCAGCAAGAGTCCTTTCACCTCTTTTCTTCCAGGCAAAGTCTCTCCTGCTTCCTAAGGCACATGGCAAAAGGGAGCACCCCAAAGCCTCATGGTTCTCTCTCGCCAAAGCCACGTGGTTCTCTTTACATGGCTGCCCAGTCTGGGTTTAAATCCCCAAGCCAGTCTTCCTCTGCAGCCTCATTTCCGACTCCTCCTACAATTAGTTACACCTGCCAGCATTCTCACATCCTTCCAGCTTTACTGGGCTGCCATACGGAGTCTAGGCAGGCGTGGCCCCATGGCGTGGAACCAATCATCTCTAAGCTCTCACACAAGCTCCATAACCAGGGGGAGTTACCTCCCAGTTACATCTTGGGTGGAAGTCACTTCCATCCCCCTGGCTCAAAACATGGCCATAGCCATTTAACATATCTATGAAACCAGTTAAAGGTTATAGATATGTTAAACGACCATGACACAGGTTAGCTGCAAACATGTTGCTATGCAAAACTGCTCTCAATGGCCCTGCCCCATGTGTCCCTTCCCCCAACTCAAACCTCTGGGGGGGAGGACACCCTATATATATTTCTAATATTCCCTGGACACCCTGAATTCTGGACCCCATTACAAATCCCTATTTGGGGCCCCTCTCCTGGCTGCGCCATTATAATTCCTCCTCTCAGATATACAACCCTTTTATAATCATATAGAGGACAATGGACAAAGTTCCCATCTTGTAACTACTTCCGGCTGGACATGAACGTTGTCCTACCTACCCTTGGGTCAGGGGTGCCCTGAAGAGGGGGGGTCCAGCGCAGAGGGCTGCACCCAGTTACAGAACTACAGACTTAAATCTGCTTTTCTCTTTGCAAACTGGTAACAAGTCTATTCTTAGGTTCCAGCTTTCAACCACCTGGGAGGGGTTCCATTACCTTCCTTACAATTTTAAGTTCAAAAAGTTGGGCAAGGACTGTCATAGCCCAATTTGCTCAGCTGCCCATCCCTGTGCCAACTGTCTATGGTGTGTGTGCTCATGTAAAAACACAGTACTTCCCAAGGGGACCAAATACTTGATAAGGAGTGGCTGTTTCTAGGAGAAATGAGGGAGTTCGCCATAGACCTAATACTTTGGAACAGTTTTTGGTGTCCTTAAGTAAAATATGGGCTAGCCATTTAACTAATTTCCACACCTGCAATTTAAACAAAGTAGCATCACACCACAGAGGAGCAGGGGGCAATGAATAATGCATGCTAGGTAGCATGGAGAAATACTTTCATAGAGGCCTCTTGAGGTGAGCCTTTAGGATTAAGCGTGGTCTGTCAAACTAAGAGGGGATTCCAGGGAGACAAACTTACAGGTTTGAGCAAATCAATATACCATATTTTGCTATGGATAATGTGCACTTTTTTTGCCCAAATTTTTGAGGAAAAAATACAGATGTGCATTATACATGGGTACTACCTGAAGTATCTTGTATCTGTTCTTATATTTTGAAATTGTTACATAAAATTTCTTGTACCATATTTCCAAAAATAAATGCTAAAATTCCTTCATAATACAAAAACCAAGTATCTAAATATAAATAAATAATTGAATGAAAAAATTGAAATGAAAGATTTTTTTCCTGACGGTTTAGGCCAAAAACATGGGTGCGTATTATATACCAGAGTGCAATATACACTGCAAAGTACGGTAAATACCTCCTCTTCCAGACTTTTTTATATATGCTGAAAAAACGTATTTGAAATAATGAGAAAACAAAGGATAAAAGTATACTATTAGTTCAACGCCAAGATTAAATAATCTTTACTTGGACTGAAGTATGAGCTGTGTGTATAACCAAGTGACTTAACTCCCCCTACAATTTGGCTTTGTCACATTACTGAAAATAGCCACCTCAGAGAGCTTAAGTTATGATGAAAGGCGATAATCCCTTATCCCAGTGTTCCCCAACCTTTTTGGCAACAGGGACAGGTTTTTGGGGGGTGGGCGGGGACAGGAGGCGGAGCTCTGGGGGGCTTCTGGCCCAGCAGTTCCTAACAGGCCACAGACCAATACTGGTCCGGAGCCCTAAGTTTGGGGACCTCAGCCTTTGCCAATACTTTAGCACATCTAAAGCTCTCAAATAAATGCTGAAAATTATCAGCAAATTTTTTAAAAATATTTTATTTATTTATCTCTAGAGGGGAAGGGGAGAGGGAGAGAAATATCAATGTATGGTTGCCTCTTGTGTGTCCCCTGCTGGGAACTGGCCTGCAACCCAGGCATGTGCCCTGACTGGGAATCGAACCGCAATTGCTGGCCCACGCTCAATCCACTGAGCTACACCAGCCAGGGCTATCAGCAAATTTTAAAGTCATAAATGTAGCTGGAGGGCTAAATTAGATACTAAATGCCCACAGGTTCCATCTAACACCTAAAATGAGTTACTTATGTAAGCCATGTACCAGTAGTGAAAAATACTTAAAAATAGTCCTTTTGGATGTCCAGGTACGTATAAGACCGGGTAAAACGAGGAATTATAAATAACGAGTCACTTTAGATGCTCTGATTATACTCTGACCTGAGTTGGGTGAAAAAGACATGATCAAATCCGCAAGGAAGAGCTCCCCAGTCGTTTTCAGAGCGCGGAGATTCCCCACCCCAGGGGAACCCAGGGACTGGGGAACCGAGATCCGAAGTGAGCCACGGCGAAGGCGCGCTAGACCTGGGGCTCCGGGAATGGCACCACCAAGACCCAGCGCGCGCAAAACGAGGCGGGCCGCAGAAGTCGAGACACGCTCTGCCGTTAACCTCACCTCCGACAACCGGCAGGACGGCGCCCAACACCGCCCCGCCTGGTAGCAGCCTCAGCTCACTAGAGCCGCCTTCACGGCTTCCTCATTGGCGCCCTCGTGATGCCACTTCCTGTCTCCGGAGCATCACTTCCTGTCGCAAGCGCACTTGTGAGAGGAAGTGTCCGCGGCCGCAGCTCTTGTCTGTCTCCCGGTTACGTTAGTCTGGTAGCCGAGCCGTTGCCTCTTAGCTGGGTCGCCGTTATGGGAGTCCCGGCATTCTTTCGCTGGCTCAGCCGCAAGTACCCGTCTATCATTGTTAACTGCGTGGAAGAGAAGGTGAGGGGGAGCCTGATGGCCGCCGCGCTAAAACTGTGATCCCTAGCGCGCCAAGGCCGCGGCCCTCGGACCAGCCGCGTACCCGAGTCGTCCTGCCGGGGTCAGCGCCGCCCGGTCGGCTCCCCGGGAAGCTACGGCCAGACACGCGGTGGAGTGCGGTCTTTCGTGTACTTGTTTAGCGGTTGGCGGCCTGGGCGGTAGGAGGGGCGAGCTGGGCCTGAACTCGCCGGCTCCTCCCCCGCTGGTTGCCCTGGACCGGAAGACCCCGCCCTAGGCTTTGTTTCCTCCCTGCACTTTCGGTTTCTTAAGCGACTCCGGGGCGTTGGCGCCACACCGGGGTGCTCCGTGGAGTTGGATAGTTAGGGATATATGGATGCTGATGCCAGCCTTTAACGACCTTGTAAAGTAACCCCCCGCTACGAGCTTTTTGTTGTGTACTGGAAAGCCTGAAAAGTTTTTATTTTAGTTTGGTAGACCTGTTGATGCTGGTAGAGCCTACCGTGAAAGCAAAACCTAAGAACACCTAGGGGGCAAGAAAGAAATGCCTTCTCTAGGTACCCCAACTGCTGGACAACATGGTTGAAATTTTCAGAATTCCTGGGAGCATCTGAACGTTACAGTTTTGTTTCTAGTTTGCTAATGTGTATGTAGATTTGGCTAGTCTTCTGTTTTGTTTTTGTATTTCCATGATTTCGTCCGAGTTCAACCTTGTACTCAGCATTTCTGAAAGGAGAAGGGTCAGGGGTGTATCATGCTCCCCCCCCACCTTCGTTTTGGATGGAGTGCCCGTCTGTCACTGCGAACTGATTTCTTTTGCATAGTTTGGTGAAATCTTGGGGTTTTGTTTAGCTTCTGTCCAACAAAGAACCAAAACTCTAGTTTTGATGGTGCTCTCAAGTATTCTTTGAGTTTTTCTCAAAGAGCAATGCCTATTTCCTTTGTTTTAGAAACTTACCAAACTTAATTTACTTAATTTGAATCTCATCGCCTTTTTAATCTCCAGTGATAACCACTTTTAACTGTTCTATCTCTAAATATCATGCTTATACCTGACTCACTGATTCTGAGTTGTTGAATTCTAGCTATGATAGAAGAGGTTTTGGTCACTGATGCAGCAACCCCCCCCCCCCCAAGTCTCACCCCAAACCTCCTAATAATAGTAAATCACATCTCTATTTCTTCTGTTGGCAAACTTATCATGCTTTTATTTTTCATTACAACTCCTATGTAAACTATCTGTTGATTTTTACTTTTTGAAGTTAGGTATTACTTTTTCTAGCCCTGCCACCCTTACTCTTCACCCAAAGCGTGTCAGTTGTACTTTTGCCCTGTTGGCATCCAATATTAAATTTTCAGGGCTTTGGCTATACAAATTTGTGGTAATAGTTGAGAAACAAAATAGTGTTGTTCATTATTGTCATTGTGCAAATTCAGGTTATGTACTGTGATTGTTTCTCTTGTGCTACTCTTGTCCTTTGTTTTGCCTTTCTCTTCCTTTTTTACGCGGATGCCCCTCCAAACTATATTTTATCAGGTTTTCTCTCAAATCCTCTTTCATAGAGACTTAGTCTTCAGGTCTTTATTTCTGTTGCTGTCACATCTGGTTGTTTAGGTGTGCTGGAAAGCTGCTGCTTAATATTTTTTTAAAAATTCCTTTCTGAAGTTGGAGGTACTGTTTTCTGATCATCTTTCTGGGCTTAAATTCTTCCTTGGTCTTTATTCTCAGTTCAGTTTTCAAGAAATGGCTTGTGGGATGTAAGTTTTCTGAATCCATTCTACCCTTATACACACATGATCATTAGCTAGTCATGGAATTTGAGTTTGAAAATTAGTTTTCCTCAAAACTTTGAAACCTTTTTTTTTTTTTTACTATTGTCATCCAGTATTGTTATTGAGAAGTTGAATGTTAATGTGATATATTTATTTAACCAACCTCTCTGTATGTTCACCACTTACCAGGCACTGTTCTAGGCATTTTACAAATTAAGTTACTAATTCCTGTAACAACATGACTGCTACTATGTGCTTATTATTATTATTATTGTTAATGAGAAAACTGAAACACAGAGGAGTTAGTTAATATACTCAAGCTCTCTTGTCTAATACATGTTAGAGCCAAGAACATGCTTTTAATTTCTGTGTTCTGGTTTCATTCTTTTGTAGTTGATCTGTTTTTCTTTCTGAAATGTTTTAAGATCTTTATCCTTGATAGTGTGAGTTTTCATGATTTTGTACTTAAGTATAGTTTTTTTAAGTTAAAATATATTTTTGATTCGTATTTGGCTGACTCCGAGTTTGGAGACTTGTGTTCTTCAATTCTAGGGAACATTCTTTATTACATATGTATTTTTTACCTCCTTTTTCTCTGCCCCCTCTGAACTCTGGATACTACTCCTGGGGAATGATTTTTCTTTTCTCTCTCTGCTCTCTCTCAACTCCTCCTCTTCCCCTTTTGCACATGTATACAATTTAATGCATTTTATACGTATTATTCATGAAACCATCACTACCACAATTGAGATAAGGAACATAAACTCTAAAATATTACCCTGCCTCTCTGTTATTCCTACTACCCCTCCCTACTGCCTATCTTTAGTTAGCTACTGATTTATTTCTGACTCTAAATAAATTTTCATTTTGTAATTTTATATAAATGGAGTTATACTACAGTATCTACTTTTTAATCTAACTCATTTCCATTCGGAATAATTATGTTGAAATTCATCCATGTTAAATATATCAAAGTTTATTTCTTTCAATTTTTGAATAATATTCTATGTTGTACATATATCACATTTTGTTTATTCATTCACCAGATTGGTGAACATTTTGAGAGAGATCTGATCAGAATACCAAGGGGGATCAGGGAGGAGTTGTAGGAGTAGGTTGCCCAAGGCAATGATAAACCCTCTAGGACGGGATTGGCTGTGAGGCCGGATGTCTCCAGAGTGCATGGAATTATGGGCTACAAGATTTGAAATAAAAATTATGGGCTAAAGAAAGGCTCTGGATAGCTCTTCCTCTGGGATGCTGGAGGATTGTTCTACAGCAGCCTGTGTCAGGTTGACCTGGCAGAGAGTGGCAGGAGTTGTTCTTCTTTAGGTGTTCTAGAGGGCACCAGCTCTCAGGCCTGCCATTCTTCCAAAGTTGTGTAACTTTTGCACCTTATGTTGTTTTATTTTGTTAACTAACCCTACAGAAATAAGATAATTGAAACTAATAGAGCAGGGGTGTCAAACTCGTTTTCACCAGGGGCCTCTCAGTTGCCTGCAAAGGGCCAAAATAATTTAAGGACTGTATAAATGTAACTACTCCTTAACTGTTAAGGAGTTGAAATTACATTCAGCCCTTGAAGGCAACCGGAGAGGCTGATGTGGCCCCCGGTGAAAATGAGTTTGACACCCCTATAGTAGAGGGATGATAGGAGAACTCAGCTGTTAAAAGATTTTAGCTTTAATTGATAGGCTTAAGTGACTAACACATGTGGAAAGCTGTTATTTCAAAACTGTGAAGCTTTTGAATAATGACTCCTTTCCTTTATCACTAAACCTTTGCCTCTGGAATTTTGCCTAGTGGGTCACAGCAGGCATCAGGACCCTACTTGCTGTTACCTAACAGTTTGAATTGTTTCCCCATTTTTGGTTATTAAAAAAAATCTATGAAGGCTGGTGTACAAGTCTTGGTGTATGCATATGCTTTCATTTCATTTCTTTTAGTATTTTTTCCTTCACCGAGGACATGCTTATTGACTTTTTAGAGAGGGCTAAGGGAAAGAGAGGGAGAGAGAAACATCCCTATGAGAGAGAAACATCAGTTGGTTGCCTCTTGCATGTACCCCTAGGGAGGGCTTAACCTGCAACCTAGGAATGTACCCTGACTGAGAATCGAACCCAAGACCTTTAACTTTGCAGGTTGGTGCTCTAGCCAATTGAGCCACATCAGCTAGGGCTATGCTTTCATTTCTGTAGAGAAACTATCTGGGAGTTAAATGTTTAAATTGTGTGGTAGTGTGTGATGATTTAAAAAGAAAAACTTGCTAGGATTGTTTTCCAAAGTGGTTATGCCATTTTATATTCCCACCAATAGTGGATGAGAGTTCTAGCTGTTCCATTCCTTGTCAGCACTTTGCACTGTTAGTCTTTTTAGTTTTAGCCATTCCAGTGTAGAGATGTTATGGTTTTAAATAGCATTTCTCTAGTGACAAATGATGTTGAGCATTTTTTGGGGTGCTTATTTACTTTTCATGTATCTTGAATGAGGTGTCTATTCAGATCTTTTGCCCATTTGTAAGTTGGGTTGTTTTCTTACATATTAATACATCTTTTGCAATTATTTTCTCAATTTGTGGTTTGCCTTTTTACTTCTTAGTCATGCAAAGATGAGTAACATTTTTTAATTTTAATATAGTCTGATTTATTTTTTCTTTTATATTCTTGGTTTTTGTGTTGAATTAAGAAATATTTGCCAAAGGCGAGGTTACTAAGATTTTCTTTTTTCTTAGAGATGTTTTATAATTTCAGTTCATCCTATGGTTTCTGTTTTTAGTTTTTTAATATGGTAAATTACATATATTTTAAAATGTTAAACTCGTTGCATTCGTTGGGTAAATCCCACTTGGTGTATGCTATTGGATTCAGTTTGATAAAGTTTTCTTGAGAGTTTTTACACTTGTGCTCAAAAAGTATATTTATAGTGTTCTTGTAATGTCTTTGTCTAGTTTTGGTATTAGAGTGATGTTGGCCTCAGATTGAGTTTTGTGGTGTATCCCTCTTGAAGAATTTTGAAAGCTTGTATAAAATTGATGATATTTCTTCCTTAAATGTTGATATTCACTGGTGAAACTATCTGAACTTGAAGTTTTGGGGGAAGGTTTTTAGCTACAGTTCAGTTTTTTTAGGAGACATAGAGCTATTCAGATTATATCTTTTTTAATGAGGTTTTATAGTTTATGTCTTCCACAGATTACTGTATTTTGCCATGTATGATACACATTTTTTTGC